AGAATTGACCCTTTCGCCTCGTTTGGGTGACAAGCAGCTGATAACCCCAATAACAGCTATTTACTTTTCTCGTAGGCAAAGAAACCAAAAAAAGAAATAGATAGATCGTAAGTAAGAACCAATCAAAATGCGAGATTAATTATATTGCATATTAATTAACAAACTAGGAATTTCATTATGAAAGTGAGTGCTGTCGAAGGTCGATAGAAACGGTGGGAACTGAATTGAACAGTCAACAGGTCTGGAAATTTTTTTATCTTTGGAGGGTAGGGATGTCCAGAGTAGGCCCTCGCTGGATGATTTGTAATAATTACTACAGCAAGTGGTGTTTTAGAAAAATGGCCCAATGCCTTATGGTTAGGCTTACGGAGTTGTTTGACACACATTGGGAAATTACTGAAAATGCTTTGTTGATTGTGGGGTGGGGAAAGTGGTTGAAAATGTAGGTAGTAGCAAAATAGAGGTGCTGTTCTAAAAGGTGAGAGGAAATTAATTTTTATTGTTGATTTGATAAGTCGTTAATTTGATAGATGTTGGGAATTATAAATGACAAATTTACTCATTTATTGGAAAATTCACCCTTATACAATGTGTATCTTGACAAGATACCAAAGTTTCTAACTTCAAGTATGTATTAAAATTTGTTTCTCATTTACACATTTGAAGTGTTTTCATTTGGAACTGTAACTTGAACAACGATTTAGAAAATAATGTTATATGCCATAAACTTGATACAAAATATTGTTGACTGGAGTAATTCCTTTTCAGTGTGAACAGTAACAGTAACTATAAATATATGTCTAACTTGAACAATGAATTTTTTGTGGCCTTGTAAGCGCCTGACAGCGTGCTCCTCAATTCCCAAGCGTGGATCTGTAAAAGAAAAACAGCCAAACACAAATTGATCTCTTTCCGTTCGCGACCTTGATGAATAACTACACAAGAAAATGAAGACATTTTAATAGCGAATGAAAACATTCAGAAAATACTTACCTGCTTGTATGATGGCAACGTCAAACAACTGACAGCGTACGAAATTGCTAAAATCAGACTAAAAAAGAGTTAATGGGAGAAGTTGGAACGAAGGCAACTAGTCAAGGAGGTTTTAGATCCATAAGTCTTTCTGTTAGAGAAGTCGAAGAAGGCTGTTCCAAAGTGTAGCATCTCGATTTTTAACGCTGTATTTACCTGCTTCGGAGAGTGGCTTAGAAACTGAGGAAGAAATTATGAGTGAAATCGGGCAAAACCCCTCGGATAATGTAAATGAACTTAGGATGTCTTTCTGAAGCATTGAATCTGTCAGTCTTCCTACCGAGAACGAAATAATCAATGTAAATCACTTCTGAAGTACAGACAGAAATTAAAAGAGAATAGCTATATATGATATTTTATTGCACAAGAGGAGTTAACGTTGCTCTTATAGATCATTTAAGTAAAATCTCAGGAAGATCAATAGTTTTGTAGTTCGAATTTTAGTGACGTCATGTGAAAACCAGCTACAAGAACGTGATGCCGTGTGGGTATCAGTCTTAACCACTGACTTCCGGTTAACTTTTTTTCGACCGGACGTTGTTATTGTTTTTACGACTTCCTTCAACAAACATTAGATAACTGTTTTCAAACTGGGCGACATCAGGTTATATATTATTAAGTTTGATGCTGACAGATGTTAAAAAGACTCGGAATTTTCACCATGCAAAGGACTTGAACTGTCGCTCTACTGACAGCGATTATTAAATAACTGAACTGATATCGGCTTCTTCAGATCATTGTCACCATAGAACACGCCTTGGGCTGATAACCTATCGACCTTGCGCCCTCCCATTTCACAGAATCCCGCGACCGCTTTTATTGGCTTCACTTCTAAAATCTTAAAAAGAGCTTAGTGTTTGCAAACAAAAGAGCTTACGTTGGTTTATATAGCTATAGCCAGTATTTACAGCTTAAATTAAAGTTTTAATCTTAGCCTAATCAAAGGTAACTTGCAAAATTGAACTAAACCCCGAGGTGACAATTTTGTAACGAAGTTATCGGCTACTTATGAAGGAGAAATTTGATAAATTGGGGTTACAACTTTAAATTGAATTAGAAATGGTCAGGCGCAAGCTATTCTGAAAAACTGTAAGGGATTTTAATACATGGAAGCCAGCATTTGGCATTTGTATGCAGAAAAATATAATTTTTGTATGCTTTTAGTGCGTCTGCGGTTCTCTTGATCGCGATAACAGAGTTTAAATTGCAACGTCAACAACCAGAGGTGTAATGTTCATGACGTCACACTGCACTGATGCCCCAGCTGAACAACATCAAGACGGCCACGTGCAATAATACCGTACAATATACAGATCAGCTGCTTTGCATTCTCATATATCAAAATCTACCGGGACCTGCGATTGCATTGTTTATCAATACAACTTGATTCAAAACAAGCGAGAAAAATTGGAGCTTCAGCTGGTTGAGTAAGAACAAAGCACTTCTTTTGTGGGTGAAACCTTTGTCTTCTAAATCTGCTTCCAGTAACTGAGATGTTGACGTCACCGGAAAGAAGCCACTTGTGGCCATTACTACAATATAACGGAACGTCACTTTTGTTTTGCAGTCGCTCTCAACGTGGTTTTCAAGAGAACAGCTTCTTTCCACAACAGCGGAGAAAATTGATTGAAAGATTACATCTCGGGTAAGAAGAAATTTTTTATTAGTAATTGAACAAATTCAGCGTTAATGAGCTCTTACAAAACCACAAGGTTTATACTGATCGAATTGAAATAATCACCATGCAATATCATTGATGTACCGTATGGCTGAGATGATTCACTCATATCGACAATATCACATCATAATATTTTGTTTCCCAGTAACGCAGAGTCACTGTCACTAAACTGTATTTCAAGTTGAGACCATAATCTGCGTTCGCAAGGACTGAGGTACTCGTATCAAACCAGAAGGGCAGACATATCAATTCCCTTACGTGAATGCGCTGTGATTTTACATTGATATCCCTAGATAAGACAGTTATCTTTTATCTGACTTTGTAAAGATGCCGGGGTCTGTTTGTTGATATTTGAAATGCATACAATGACAACAAAATGTCGGCATTGATTCAGTTTTTCGTTTCAGGTCATCAAAACACGCTTATTGTGGTAATTCAGGGTCACTTATATCAATCACCTTCAGCCAACTGCGGGATATTTGTACCTAAAAAGTCACGATTCACGTTCAAACCGAATTCTTCGTATACTTGTTGCAAGCGAAAGCCACAGTAGCTGGCATCTAACTGAGAGAGTCTGCGTCAGCCTTACGGAGTTTAAGTCGTCAACATTTGCTTGGACTGATTTTGAAGCCGAGTTGTACAGTGCATTGCCGGATTGTCCAGTCTTCAAGCCCTCGACAACCTTACTCCTAAGCTCAGCTACCTTCGCTGAATTATTTGAACATCAAAGAATATGAACGTCAGAGTTAAAGGCCGAAATCTACTGAGCCGAAGAAGCTTTGTGACAGGGAAGTCAATATGCGATGAAACAAGGTGGCTTCTAATCTCTGGGAGCAATTCCGACATCACAGATCAGACTCAAATTTGCGATTTAAACCAAGCTTCGAATGATTGGAGCTCGAAGGCGCAAGATATTAATCCTTTGAGAAGAACAAGGTCAGTGACAGGGTCGAATGGCTTTCCACAAACCACACAAAAACCTAATGATGGTAAAGTTTGCGGTAACGCTTGCGAACGATGTAGTTATCCAAAGATTGTAGCAGCTGTGAGTGATGATGTGAAAGGCTGTCTTCCAAGCCCGACTCTAATGAGACGCCGTAATGCCATATGCGATGAAATCGAAAAAAGAACTATGGCTATGTCTGGGAGAACATTGAGACAAAAACGAGTTGATATGCTTCGATCGATTGCCTTGACGCAATTCTCATTGTTGTAATATCACTGCAATGTCCGTGCACACGCGAAAAAATTAGCCCGGTCTGCACTTCATGAGCCTGAACGTAGCTCGTAGAATCGATGACAGATTACAAGAGGGATTTTCAGTTTAGATGCAGACCTATGCCCGATGATGAAAGTGTCATTCTATTCGTTGTAAACAGAGGTAGAGATTATATACGTCCTGGGTGTTCATATAGTGGAGGTTGATGTATAAGGATAGGTCCCATCGTAATATGTATAAACTGTTGAAGTAATTGTTTAAGTACGAAACAGTTAAACGAAAGTTGCGTTTTACTTTCTCTAGAGAATAAAATTCCACGGGGTTCCATCTAACTTGTGTATAACAACGGAATAACAACAATACTCAAATACAGACAAATACTGTTAATGCGCTATTATTATTTGTAACTTTGTTAGTGAAGGCGATTGTTACAAAACTCTTTAAGCATGTCTGGACGAGAGTAAAATACAATACCTAAGTTTTGACGGCCATACTGATCACATTTATGTCCCTCAATGACTTCAGTGGCTTTTCTAAATTCCTTCCGTTTTCTAGAAGGATTTTATACTGTTATTGTTTGGTTTAAAAGGGTCGCGAGTTTGACCCTTTTTATTAGCGATGATTGCGTGTGCTTAGATTGAAAAAGCCTTCAAATTATCGAGTTGATTAATTAGGCCCTGGAGCTATAAAATCCTCAAACAGCCGTTTGTAACGAAATAGTTTAATTTTACTTCGAAATGCGTCGGCAAACATCATCGTAAAGTTTCATCAAAGCACTTGACAGTCATTACAGGTAATGTAGTGCAGTTTTTAGACTCCCACTGTTTTCACAACATGATCATCCGCTCACCTTCAGCAAGTTTTTTGCTCAGTCTCACTGCAACATCCCGCCATGTTCAACTACATGTGTTTATACCTGACAGTGTCACACAAGTATGACGTATAGTCATAAGACGAAAGTCACGTCGGGTGAGTCACGTTTCAAAACATGGTTTGCCCAACATTCCACCACAACTGCACGTTTACTAGCCTGCCGATTATTCTTTCCACAATCTCACTGCGATTACCCGTTTCTTACCATGAGCACGCAAACTAAACTTTTAAGTTCGAATCACGAAGGAAAAATAATGGTAGGCGAATTACATTTTGAAAACACTAGCGGGTCTATATCCTATGAAATAAGCTATAACAAGCTAAATTAAACAATTTTGAAGAGTTGTAGCATTAAAAAAGTAGGTCCGCAGTGCTTACAAATTCAGACGGCTCGATGGCACATCCCAAATAGCCCTACAGAATGCCAAATGCTAAAATCAGCAAGGCGTTCCTGTACAGGCAGTACAGCAGTGTGGCTGCCCATTGAAATCTAGGGCCTAGTACGTAAGGAAGCCATGTTCGTAAGCGAAGACGTCATCCGTTATCGCTGAATGCTGGCACGACTGTCTGAAGATTTTTTGGGGTCTTATGCATTTTATGCATACAGACCCCTAAGTCAGAGGCAGATCTTGATTGTAGTCAGTCAGTCTTTGAGGACGAGATGACACGTGACAGGCCTCCGGGAGTATAAATAGTTTGGCAGGTAGACGGGATACTAGTAATTGCGAGTTTCGTAGGTCATTGCTTCCGGCGTAGCGTTGTTGTTGTGTAATTGCAGCTTCGATTTCGTTTCCCTGTTTTGTGACAATTTAGAAGAGCTTTCCCTCGCAAATTAGTTGTAATTGTTCAAGGTAAGTTATCTCCATCTCAAAATCGCTGTCTTGCTGTTTATGATTTCATTTCGACAATTAACTGCACTGCCTTATGTCCGCCTTGGTTGTTCTTTGTTATTTCATTTAGGTGTTGGAGTGAGTTTCCTCGGCGATATGGGAGTTGTTTGCTCACGCAAGCCAACATATCTAGACTCGGCTTGTGTTTAGTGCGGAATGCACTGAAACTAATCCGCTTTCGCAAGCCCACATTCATTGGCTTGAAATCCGGTGCGGGTTACACCACAAGCCAGCTAACAGGGTTGTCAAAATAAGCCGGCGATCGGCGCATTCTCGAAACCTGCGCCGCCTACTCCGAATGCTAGTAAGTTAGTCCTGAGCATGATATTGGAGAAATAAAATGGAAATAAAATTGTTCAGTTTTGAATTTGTTTGAACCCAAACTGGATCGGAGGGAATAAAGTATTTGCTGAAAAAGTGCGTGACACGAATCGAAACTGATTTATAATTAGCCGTAAATGTTCTACACCTCAGCAAATCAATTTCTGAAACGGAAATACAGGATAAAGTATCTCAGAATAGTCTGGTAAAAGTTGAGTTTTCGTTGTGTTCAAATGGCACTGAAATAAATAGGGCTGTAGTGTTTTTCTCCCCAGTTAAGTGCTATTATGATGAGAGAAGTAGGTTTATTTACACAAGTGTTAACATCTAAAGCCGTCGGCGGGAAACTGGCTTATCCGTCATAAAACTGCAGAATTACTTCAGTCTACACTATCCCTTACTTTAATGGAAATAAATATACTCCTTTGTATTTTTTGAAGCGATATTCTCACTAGTTTTTAAGTTTTTAAAAAAGACAATTGTATAATAGTACACTTTGTGAAATAAGTCCAAGAAGAAAAAGATGAAAAGGTATTTTTTATTGCCTCCTTATGCACAACTACAAATAAAATACAGTAGAGTCTTTATTGCAACTCCCTACAAGGGTTTTTCAGTTACAAGACTACACAACTATCATACTAAAATAACTAAAAAAGATAACCAAATAACTAAGGTAATAAGTAATGGTAACAGGACTGAGTGGAGTCCAATTCGGTCTGTTATCATAAGAATGATAACAAAATCGGACGACAGCGCAGCGGGAGTCCGATTTGTTTATCACGACTGTGATTACTGACCGAATTGGACGACACGAAGTCTAATAAAAATTACAATTTCCGAGAAAAGAAGAATAGCCAAGTTGTGAAAGAAAGGGAAAATTTGCTTTGAAATACCTACAAAGGAGATGTAAACATTCTAAGGCCACCCCACCTCCTACCGGCAATTAGGCGCCAAAAACACAAAAGCGCACGCACGCACGCACGTAACTTAAATTTTGAATCAGACTGGTTGATTTAAACTACAACTTTGAATGTGCTTACTGAACCGTCCGATAACAAACTGTCCAATAACAAATTGTCCAATAACAAAATGTCCGATAATAACTTGGCAAGTGAATTAGTGGAAAATAGGAGTTTTTTAAACCAATCACAATCGAGGAAATTGTAATTTTTTTTATTAATATGCATTAAAAATTTAGTGAAATACAATGGATTGGATTTACTTTTTACAAATTCATAGATTAATCAGAAAAAAGTAGGTAAACAATTTTTTTTTCTAAAAACGTTGACAGAGTCTGAAGATTTAACATCGTCTCTTATATTATTCCAGAGCCTAGCACCACGGTAGGTGAAGGACCATTGTCCGGTGGTTCGAAGGCAACTTGAAATGTTCGGTTGACCGCGTTGTTTAGTATTTCAGTGATGTGAATTGTGAGCGCAGAGTAAATTTCGCGATTACGTAGTCAGGGAAAAGTTTATTAACACATTTAAAGATCATTACGGCATTGTTCAAGTAAAGTCTGTCATTAACAGGCAGCAAATTTACAGATACAATGTGTAAAGTAACGGTGCCAGTGTAATTTACATTGTTTCAAGAAAAAAAAAACAAGACACTAGTAAGGCAGGCGAAACTAGAGCGATGTGCTTGAGTGAGTCAATCCTCCCTAACCTTTTTGCCGTGATGTTCATACGGCGAACACTGGATTGGAGAATAACAATAATTAGGGGTGGGAAAATCGTCAACAAATGTACACAATGTTTGCTGAAAGAAGCCCCACTTTGAATCTCAGGGTATTACTTTTCAAACATCTTCCCAGTGGAAGGGGGCGACCTCCTCCCATACTCTCCGCGAACGATGCACAGTGCGCGTCTGAATTTGTCCAGCCGCTTCGCGGCATGTTTTTCACGCAAACCTTAGCCGCCTACTTTTTGGATGGAACCTGCTACTCGAAAAACAACTGCCAACCCCCGCGGTACTCAGTTGTTGATGTTGTTATGTATTTAAACAGGCTTAGTCACTACAGCAGCAAAACCTCTTGACACTACATGTACAAGTTCACTTGACATGTGTAAACAGTGCCGAGTTCAGAGAGTTAAACCGCACATGGGACATTGCACAAAATAGGGCTAAATTGAGAGATTGGTGTTGTGTTATGTCCCATTAGGACTAAGAGCTAAATAAATAATTATTATTAGAGGATAAACTAAGTAAGTTATAAACAGTATTCTGCCATACGTTTCCCAGTAAAAATTGTAACGACTTGTTATGTCTACCTTCTCACTTGTAGCAATTCAACTCCCAGCTACTGACATTTGAAAACAGCATTCCAACCGAAAGGAATAAAACTACTGAAGCATAAGACCCCAAGTACGCATTGCAGATCTATTTTTATCTTTGTTTTTCTCTACTAGTGTATTTCACATGTCAAACCTGCCAATACTGAAGCATAAGACCCCAAGTACGCATTGCAGATCTATTTTTATCTTTGTATCTCTCCACTCGTGTCTTTCACACGTCAAACCTGCCAATTGGAAAACAGCAGAAAAGAATCTTTCAATCACACGGAAATGGAAATACTGGTCACATATGGAAGAGGAAAAACTGAAAATAAAAATCATGCAGTGAGCTAAAATGGTCAAATTATGTTCCCGGAAAGATATTTTTGAAATTTTTTGCTATGCTGTCAAGGCCCGATCTACGTTTTGGATAATTCATTGACATGCTCCAGGAAAAGACTGTGAAAAAGGCCTTGTGATATTTGTTAACTGTCACTTGAAGTTTAGACGTTCTTAGCATATTCAAAATGAACATATTTGTTTGACAACTTAAAAGGTTTCGGAAAGCTGCGTTTGATTTAAAAATAAATGTTTAAAAGGGGCTTTTCTAGCATTAAAACCGCTTGGCAAAGCTGAATTTAGTAATATAGGTTCATAAAGTGAATCACCCAACAAGATTTATGCTTCCAAACTTTTCTAGACCGTATAAAAGTTACTTGATTTCGGCGAGGGACCAAGTGAAAATTGCTTTGTGGTTTCGTACTAATTTATGCATTTAACACCATTTTTGTAATTTGTTGTGTTTCTAGCATTTGGCGTCGCTCCTAGGTGTTTGTTTAGCTTCAAACGAGTCCTCTGAAAGTTTCAATACATCACATTTATAAAAATAACTCACTATTCAGTCAATAGTAACCTTATTGGGTTTATTTCTCTTAATCCCACCGAACACGACGTATCCAGTGTTTCATTTTCAAACCCGTTTTTTTCTTTTGTGGTGTCTTTCTTAACCCAAACCCGTAGAAATAAAACATGTTGTCTTAACAACTGCGCCAGCAAATGCACTAAACAACGCAAACTTGCACTAAATACTTCAAATAGTCATTTAATGTTTCTTTGCTCAGCCTTAGCGCGTCGCAGCTGTTTCATTGTTTTAACGCGAACTTTTCAATGCTTGAAATTATTCTATTTAGGTGCTGTGCCATATATGGCTTGGATTAACAAACAAAATCCGACTGGCCTGTACATTTTACACGTTAGTGGATTTTCGAGGGAGAGTTGAAACGTTTGTAACCAGAATTCCCGAGGCTGGTCATCTCTCCTGCCACGAGATGCAAGAACTTTCGACGGTGTCTGTAAAGACGATTTTGGTGGTAGTCGTTTTATTAGCGGCAGGTAAGCTTATAATTTAGTGCTCTCTCTCGAAGGTTAACGAGTGGCTCATGAATGTCTTGGATTAAACTATTCTCTGTGGCTCGGAGTAGTAAATAAATAAATCTTTTCGCTTGATACAAAGCTTATTACTATACTGATGCGATTGTGTATAACTGCTTCATCGTAAGGTTCCTGTCAGAGTAACTGTTATGTTCATTTGAAGCTATTGCCTTTAGAGGTTAGTTTAGAACCGTAAAATAAAGAGAATTCTTTCATTTTAGAAGCGTAAGTTTAAAAGAGGTTTCATATCAACCTTGAAACACTGGTATATGAGACTAAATCATTCGGACAATACTTAATTTGAGAATTCGGATCGAAAGAATATAAATTTCACTTCACCCAATGACATCAATTGAAGGATCAAATGGTTATATGTATGTTCTATCACCGTCATGTCGAGTACAAATTCGAGATTTACACGAACTGAACTCAAATTTCGTCCATTAAAATCAAAAGGTCCCCGAAAGCGCGAAATTAAACCGCATGCTTTGGTGCACGATTTTTTTCAAATGCAAAATAACCACTTTCAAGAAAATCTGAATACTTTTAATTTATCCTCTTTGTTTGTTCAAGGATAATTGCCCTGTTAGCCTGACCAAACAAAGAAGTTGACAAGTTAACTAAAATTTGTCAAGTCGCTTGAAGGACGGTGAAAAATTTTAAATTTTTTTTTTCTAGCTGAAAGTAACATAATGCATGTCTGGTAAACCATAACTGCAATACTATCTCGACCATGGGAATACATAGGAATAGTTTTCTCCGTCTCTCTTTTGTCATCCAACTAAACAACAAGATTCCTTTATCAGCATCAAAGCTGTCTTATTTTTTTCTGAATTGAAAATTCACCCGTTAGTTTATTATAACAACAGCTATTATGTTATCTAAATTTGGGCAGTTTACGAAGAGATTTAAACGTGATTTCAAACCTCTTTAGGTATTTTAAGTGTTTGATTGGCCGTTTGCAAGTCAAACACCCAGATCTGGCAGCGGGGAGGTTATTGTTCTCCGCCGGTACACATGCAGTCATAATTACTCAGTGACAATTTCGACATGCAAAGCTGTTACGTTACTTCTCTTAAATTCAACTGTCGACGTCTTTTTAATCAAAGGAGACCTATGGCCAAACTCGTGGATTAAGTAATCTAGAGATGAAAGTTGGTAGACTTCCAATTATTGGTGTATTATTAAATGCTGTTAAAACAAGCTGGTTTTGTACCACGCAAGGTCACACTTATCTCACAAAGCGTAGGCTTTTGTTGCACACACATTACAAAGACATACGTCCAGAATAGCTAGGGTGGCAAGATTGCAGCTGAACATGGAGTGGTAAAGGCTAAGGGTCCTAGGGTCACAGTCAGAGGACACTCCTGCCAACAAAAAGCCATGGATAGTTCGTATATTGTGATCATGGCTAATGTAGTACTCTATCTCCACCCCTGCACC